TCGTAGGTAAAGAATCCAAGCTGTACATCTCTCCATAATAGTGTAAAATCTTAATAAATGTGTTCAATTATAAATCTACTGATGTCTACAGATTCCTTACATGAATACAATGCCAAAAAAAATGCAAAACCGTTTCTGGGTGGTCATTAAAAAAGGTACAATTTGAATTTATATTTTTCTTAAATTTCTTCATATAGTGGTTGGCAGGATAATATTAATGAATAATTTAAAAAGAAACGTCCTTAATTTTGTTAATAACTAGGTATGTGTGTGGCAACATCCAAACTTTTTTCCAACGGATATTATCAATCAAACCATTCCAATAAGGCATGATATAAGGTATAGATAGATACACCATCCTGCTGAAACAAGGTTCGTATAGCTCTATTGTTGTTGAATGGACCAAAAGAAAAACAAATATTTCCTACCTACGAGTTAACAGGGTTAATCGTAGGTATGTTCTGAGGGTCAGGTCTTGACACGTTCCTGAATAATTAAGCAACACCTGAGGGAATGGCATCTAAAACAATTGCAAAATCTTTAGGTGTTACAGGGATCTTGCAAAGTGATAAGAATGTCTTATAATTCAGTAAAAGACCCTCTGCAATTACAAGTTGGCTCACCAATAGGATATTATTTCGGAACCAATATTCTAAAAGCAAATAAGTATTTTTATACAATATGTCCCGATTATTCCATATATAATATCTGTGAGGAGAAAGATTATGCTTAGAAATTAAGGACCATGACAAGAAAACCTGCCAATGAAAAGCAGAGTTTCACTGGAACTTTGTCAATATTATAATTGCAAACCAACATGAAGTTATGGCCACCAAAAGTAGAGAAGACATGATGAGGAATAAAGTTCCACATAGAAGTGGGTCTTCTCAAGAACTGTTTAATCCAATTGATCTTAAAAGTTATTATTTAAGGTAGTAAAGTCCAGAAAATCAGCCCATTACAACAGTTTTCCTAATGTAATGGGTACGGTTTCTCCACAGAAAGTTGAAAAGCATCTGGTCAATCTCTGCATATTTTACCGTCAAGATATAAAGATAGAGCTGCATATGTTAGCCTAGAGATACAGTGAGGGAAAAAAGTATTTGATCCCCTGCTGATTTTGTACGTTTGCCCACTGACAAAGAAATGATCAGTCTATAATTTTAATGGTAGGTTTATTTGAACAGTGAGAGACAGAATAACAACAAAAAAATCCAGAAAAACGCATGTCACAAATGTTATAAATTGATTTGCATTTTAATGAGGGAAATAAGTATTTGACCCCCTCTCAATCAGAAAGATTTCTGGCTCCCAGGTGTCTTTTATACAGGTAACGAGCTGAGATTAGGAGCACACTCTTAAAGGGAGTGCTCCTAATCTCATCTTGTTACCTGTATAAAAGACACCTGTCCACAGAAGCAATCAATCAGATTCCAAACTCTCCACCATGGCCAAGACCAAAGAGCTCTCCAAGGATGTCAGGGACAAGATTGTAGAACTACACAAGGCTGGAATGGGCTACAAGACCATCGCCAAGCAGCTTGGTGAGAAGGTGACAACAGTTGGTGCGATTATTCGCAAATGGAAGAAGCACAAAATAACTGTAAATCTCCCTCGGCCTGGGGCTCCATGCAAGATCTCACCTCGTGGAGTTGCAATGATCATGAGAACGGTGAGGAATCAGCCCAGAACTACACAGGAGGATCTTGTCAATGATCTCAAGGCAGCTGGGACCATAGTCACCAAGAAAACAATTGGTAACACACTACTCCATGAAGGACTGAAATCCTGCAGCGCCCGCAAGGTCCCACTGCTCAAGAAAGCACATATACAGGCCCATCTGAAGTTTGCCAATGAACATCTGAATGATTCAGAGGAGAACTGGGTGAAAGTGTTGTGGTCAGATGAGACCAAAATGGAGCTCTTTGGCATCAACTCAACTCGCCGTGTTTGGAGGAGGAGGAATGCTGCCTATGACCCCAAGAACACCATCCCCACCGTCAAACATGGAGGTGGAAACATTATGCTTTGGGGGTGTTTTTCTGCTAAGAGGACAGGACAACTTCACCGCATCAAAGGGACGATGGACGGGGCCATGTACCGTCAAATCCTGGGTGAGAACCTCCTTCCCTCAACCAGGGCATTGGAAATGGGTTGTGGATGGGTATTCCAGCATGACAATGACCCAAAACACACGGCCAAGGCAACAAAGGAGTGGCTCAAGAAGAAGCACATTAAGGTCCTGGAGTGGCCTAGCCAGTCTCCAGACCTTGATCCCATAGAAAATCTGTGGAGGGAGCTGAAGGTTCGAGTTGCCAAACGTCAGGCTTGAAACATTAATGACTTGGAGAAGATCTGCAAAGAGGAGTGGGACAAAATCCCTCCTGAGATGTGTGCAAACCTGGTGGCCAACTACAAGAAACGTCTGACCTCTGTGATTGCCAACAAAGGTTTTGCGACCAAGTACTAAGTCCTGTTTTGCAGAGGGGTCAAATACTTATTTCCCTCATTAAAATGCAAATCAATTTATAACATTTTTGACATGCGTTTTTCTGGATTTTGTTGTTGTTATTCTGTCTCTCACTGTTCAAATAAACCTACCATTAAAATTATAGACTGATCATGTCTTTGTCATTGGGCAAACGTACAAAATCTGCAGGGGATCAAATACTTTTTTCCCTCACTGTACCTTCAGCCTTGGTTATTAGGACTCTTCCTTTTAAAGAGAAGTCCGTCTGTAGCCATTGATTTAGCTTCTTCTGGGTTTTTTAAATAAGAGGGTTAAAATTTAGTAAGCCTCTAGACTTCTGATCCTTAGTAATGGTTATGCCTAAATATGTAAGTGCTTCTTTCACTGGAATACCATAATATGACGGTGCCACACAATCTTTGACAGCCATGAGTTCACATTTATTAATGTTAAGACATAGACCAGATGCTTTGGAAAATGATTTTATCACATTGATCGGTATGGGAATCTGACTTGCGTCTTTCAGAAAAAAGTGTAGAAGAACCTGTTGTTCTCATCCAACTTGTTGGTCTCGTCATCATCATCGATGCTTCCGTTCTGCTGCGAAGGAGGAGCCCTGTCGCGCACTGTATCTTGGGGTTTTGTTAGCACGTCGAAGACAGCACTGTGAGCAAGTCTTTCTCCAGACTCCACCATCACCCGCTTTTACATCTTTCTCAACTAATAACATGGACGCGGGGTTCTTCCGCGTAAGATATTGAAATATTTACTATTACTCGTTAAATGGTGTTCAAAATGTATAATATATTCGTTTGGGTTTGTAAATATGTGCCATTGTAGATGGACGAGCTCGTGCGCCATTCCGCTGCAATGAGAAGCTAATGTAAAGATGGCGGCTGCGTTAGCTAGCAAGTTATCGTTATCTAGCTAGCTAACCTAGCTATAGATATGTTGGATTGAAGCAAGCCGATAAATTTGGCGTATGTGTTCCCATTTTCATTACTGATGTAGTTACAGGTGATAACTACAAAAATGTTTTATCTAATATAATACTTGGTTGCAAAATGGGTTTGTATAATTCTAGCCATACTACGGTACAGAGTCAGGCTGAGCATGTCTACTCGTACTCGGGCCTTATCGCACAATATCTAGATTAGTATTAGCTAATTACATAAACCGACGTATATTCTCCATAACAAGTGTTCATATTAGGGACTTAGTTTCTACATAATGTTTGACACCTATACAATTAAATTATGTTTCTGATGTCGGCTATCTAACGTTATGTGCCACTTTGTGACGTAGTTAACGTTAGCTAATGAATGCTCAACTCTGTCCTCTTATATCGAAGCGGAATTGAGTATTGCTGGTCGCGCGATTTACTGCACACAACATTGAGTCACCATCAGTAGATACTTGTAAGAATGTAAATTCTGAAATCGCTTACCTGTCCCTATCAATGTTTGGCCGGTACAACTGCTGTCCTTCCGTGGGGTGCTAAAATTAATACTTTTAATAAAACATTTATAAAATACAATTACCGACTTTTCCCTAATTAGTTGCTCAACTCAGCGCAAATGCGCATGTTCCAGTTGAGCAACACAAATGAGGGAAAAGTCGGTGGTTGTATTAAATAAAATATTTAATTAAAAGTACGAATTTCAGCACCCGCTTATGGACTGCAGTTGTACAGGCCAAACATTGATAGGGACAGGTACAGGAAAGCCTATTGACCGATGGTGACTCAATGAGTACGGTTACATGCACACAATAATGCGATTATTGTGGATAGACAGATTTAATATAGTAGTTTGATTAAAACGTTGACATTCTTTGCAGGAATAACGGGTTTCCCTAATAATCATTTTTACATGGATACATCTAAAATCAGGCTACCTGATCGCACTCTCTTATAAATGCAGGAAATTGCCAATCAAAATAAACGTTCTGTCACAGCGTCCTTGTTATTTTTGGGAAGTATATTTGATTCTTAGTTTGGACATATAAAGTTTGTATGTGGAAACTATTTCTAAGACTCATACATTGTTGTTACGAACTCCCTTCACTCGTGCTAAAGAGAGAGGCTTGCACTACTGGTGCTGGGCACATGCGCAGATCAAATGCACAGCTAGAACGCTGATTTAAGGTATCCCAATCATTTGAAAGAGTGCTCAGAAAACCAGGTGTTTAAATCGGTGTATGCTTACTTCGATTTTGGCCATATGTGGATTAAGATAAGCAGAGTAAGATGTTTACATGACTATTGCATAATCTGCCTACTGTCATAATCAGTTTGATATTGAATTATTCCTTTGCATGTAAACTTAGCTCAATGTTGGTGCTAGCAAATATCCCGACCGGTTATCAATACTCGACTCGCCTCGATATAAGAGAACAGAGTTCAGCGTTCCTCAGCTAAGCAAACGTTGGTGTCTGCGGAAGGGACAAGTACAAACAATAAAGAACAAACATTTATTGTGATAGTTGATACAGATGTTATATAAACTAATTTTGTACTTGTTTCATACAGGGCACAAGTGCAGAACAGGACAATCGCTTCAGCAACAAGCAGAAGAAACTTCTAAAGCAACTGAAATTTGCAGAATGTCTGGAAAAGAAGGTATGATAAACAACAAACTAGCATCAAAGCACATCTTCTAATTGAATTGAAATGCCCCCACAAGTAAATATGGTAAAATAATGGCGTAACAGAATGGCACCGGAGGAGATGGCTGCCGTTTTATGGGCTCCTAACCATTTGTGCTATTGTGTGTTTTTTCGTACATAATGTTTCTGCCACCGTCTCTTATGACCGAAAAGAGCTTCTGGATATCAGGACAGCGATTATTCACCTCGTATTGGACAAAGATTTTTTCTTTAACGAGTCGGACGCAAAGGATTTTCTGCAGACACCCGACAAGGCCCAAATCCCTGTCATTCGCATGTGAAAGAGATGGAGATGTCGGGGTGCCTTGTAAGGATCCGACGGCGAGTGTGTAATCTGCCTCTACCATCAGTTTGTATGGATAAGAGCGTCTGCTAAATGACTTAAATGTGGCGCACAATTGGTCCAGGGTAGGGGAGGGAATGGCCGGCAGGGATGTAGGTCGGTAACTGTAAGCCGCTCTGGATAAGAGCGTCTGCTAAATGACTAAAATGTCAATGTAATGTAAATCTGTCCTATTAGCCAACGTACAATAATTGGATAAAAAAAATAGACTTAACTAAGATCGTGGATATCCTACCAACGGGACATTAAAAATATAATAATATCTTATGTTTCACCGATGGATAACATACAGCTGGCGGGATATACGCTGTGTCGGCAAGCTGGAACAGCTGCCTCCGGTAAGACAAGGGGTGGCGGTCTGTATATATTTGTAAACAACAGTTGGTGCATGAAATCTAATATTAAGGAAGTCTCAAGGTTTTGCTCGCCTGAGGTAGAGTATCTCATGGTAAGCTGTAGACCACACTATTTACCAAGAGTGTATTCATCTATATTTTTCGTAGCTGTCTATTTACCACCACAAACCGATGCTGGCACTAAGACTGCAGTCAATGAGCTGTATAAGGCCATAAGCAAACAGGAAAACGCTCATCCAGAGGCGGCACTCCTAGTGGCCGGGGACTTTAATGCAGGGAATGTAAATCAGTTTTACCTAATTTCTACCAGCATGTTAAATGTGCAACCAGAGGAAAATAAACTCTAGACCACCTTTACTCCACACACAGAGACGCGTACAAAGCTCTCCCTCGCCCTCCATTTGGCAAATCTGACCATAACTCTGTCCTCCTGATTCCTGCGGACAAGCAAAAACTAAAGCAGGAAGCACCATTTGACTTGGTCAATAAATAAGTTGTCAGATGACGCAGATGCTAAGCTACGGGACTGTTTTGCTAGCACAGACTGGAATATGTTCCGGGATTCTTCCGATAGCATTGAGGAGTACACCACATCAGTCACTGGCTTCATCAAAGGGTAGAGCTGCCGCTTTCAAGGAGCAGCACTCTAAACCGGACGCTTTAAAGAAATCCCGCTATGCCCTCCGACGAACCATCAAACAGGCAAAGCGTCATTACAGGACTAAGATTGAATCATACTACACCGGCTCCGACGCTCATCGGATGTGGCAGGGCTTGCAAACGATTGCAGACTACAAAGGGAAGCACAGCTGCGAGCTGCCCAGTGACATGAGCCTACCAGGCGAGCTAAATTATTTATATGTTCGCTTCGAGGCAAGCAACGCTGAAGCATGCATGAGAGCATCAGCTGTTCCGGATGACTGTGTGATCACGCTCTCCGTAGCCGATGTGAGTAAGACCTTTAAACAGGTCAACATTCACAAGGCCGCAGGGCCAGACGGATTACCAGGAAGTGTACTCCGAGCATGCGCTGACCAACTGGCAAGTGTCTTCACTGACATTTTCAACCTGTCCCTGACTGAGTCTGTAATACCAACATGTTTCAAGCAGACCACCGTAGTCCCTGTGCCCAGGAACACTAAGGTAACCTGCCTAAATGACTACCGAACCGTAGCACTCACGTCTGTAGCCATGAAGTGCTTTGAAAGGCTGGTCATGGCTCACATCAACACCATTATCTCAGAAACCCGCCCCGACAGATCCACAGATGATTCAATCTCTATTGCACTCCACACTACCCTTTCCCACCTGGACAAGAGGAACACCTACGTGAGAATGCTGTTCATTGACTATAGCTCAGCGTTCAACACCATAGTGCCCTCAAAGCTCATCACTAAGCTAAGGACCCTGGGACTAAACACCTCCCTCTGCAACTGGATCCCGGACTTCCTGACGGGCTGCCCCAAGGTGGTAAGGGTAGGTAACAACATCTGCCACGCTGATCCTCAACACGGGGGACCCTCAGGGCTGCGTGCTCAGTCCTCTCCTGTACTCCCTGTTCACCCATGACTGCATGGCCAGGCACGACTCCCAACACCATCAAGTTTGCTGACTACACAACAGTGGTAGGCCTGATCACCGACAACGATGAGACAGCCTATAGGGAGGAGGTCAGAGACCTGGCCGTGTGGCGCCAGGATAACAATCTCTCCCTCAACGTGATCAAGACAAAGGAGATGATTGTGGACTACAGGAAAAGGACAGAGCACGCCCCCATTCTCATCGACGGGGCTGTAGTGTAGCAGGTTGAGAGCTTCAAGTTCCTTGGTGTCCACATCACCAACAAACTATCATGATCCAAACACACCAAGACCGTCGTGAAGAGGGCATGACAAAGCCTATTCCCCCTCAGGAGACTGAAAAGATTTGACATGGGTCCTCAGATCCTCAAAAGGTTCTACAGCTGCACCATCGAGAGCATCGTGACTGGTTGCATCACTGCCTGGTATGGCAACTGCTCGGCCTCCGACCGCAAGGCACTACAGAGGGTAGTGTGTACGGCCCAGTACATCACTGGGGCCAAGCTTCCTGCCATCCAGTACCTCTATACCAGGCGGTGTCAGAGGAAGGCCCTAAAAATTGCCAAAGACTCCAGCCACCCTAGTCATAGACTGTTCTCTCTGCTGCTGCACGGCTTCTTAACAGCTTCTACCCCGAAGCCATAAGACTCCTGAACAGCTAATCAAATGGCTACCCGGGCTATTTGCATTGTTCCCCCCCTCTTTTACACTGCTGCTACTCTGTTTATTATCTATGCATAGTCACTTTAACTCTACCTACATGTACATATTACCTTAATTACCTCGACTAACCTGTGCCCCTGCACATTGACTCTGTACCGGTACCCCCTGTATATAGCCTCACTATTGTTATTTTACTGCTGCTCTTTAACTATTTGTTACTTTTTATTTCTTATTTTTTTATTAAATGTTTTTTAGTTTTTTTTTATGGTATTCTTTCTTAAAATTGCATTGTTGGTTAAGGGCTTGTAAGTAAGAATTTCGCTAAGGTCTACACATGTTGTATTCGTCGCATGTGACAAATAAAATTGGATTTAATAGGCATAACTTCTGTATTGCCTAATTTGGTTTAAAGGGATACTTCAGGATTTTGGCAATTAAGCCCTTTATCTACTTCCCCAGAGTCAGATGAACTCATCGATGCCATTTTTAGGTCTCTGTGTGCAGTTTGAAGGAAGTTGCTAAATAGTGCTAGTGCAATTGCTAACTAGCGTTAGCGCAATGACTGGAAGTCTATGGTATCATGCTAACATACCCATAGACTTCCAGTCATTGCGCTAATGCTAGTTAGTTATTGGCTCACGAAACTACCTCAAACTTCCTTCATACTGGACACAGAGATATAAAAATGGAATCCAGAAGTTCATCTGACTGGAGAAGTAGATAAAGGGCCTCATTGCCAAAATCTCTACGTATCCCTTTAAGTGTGCAATGGGTTGAAGTTAGGAATGTGTTTGAACTTCTTCCTGATTCTTCCTCCCCTAGGTGGATATGACCAAGGTGAACCTGGAGGTCGTCAAACCTTGGATCACTCAGCGAGTGACTGAGGTCCTGGGGTTCGAGGATGACGTCGTCATAGAATTTATATTTAACCAGCTGGAAGAAAAGGTAATACTATTGACTCCAATTCCTCCCTGTTCTTGTAATTCAGATGTGATTTATATTAACTTAATATAAGGCAAAGAGGTTTATTTAACAGAAAGTGTATTGATAAGAAGGGACACAATATAAATGCAGATGGGGCAAGCGCGACCACCGGTGTCCAGTATACATCATTTTTGAATGACCCAACGTTTTTGCTGTGATATGTGACGAAGTGCCTTTGTGCCACAGTTTTCTAATGATGATGTGATTTATGATTCAAAAGGCCTGAACCAATATGGATGTTATACCTTGCATCAGAAGTATAGCACCAACACCTTATTAGCTCTCTGCTGAGCCCAAAGTGTCACTGAGCCCAACTCTCCCTGATGCAGTGTGTGGTTTGAGGTGAGTTATGGTCAGGGATCAACATGCTAGTGATAGAAACACTTGGATAATGCCATGCCATTTTCTCCATATACTTTTGAATTGCACCACTAGTTTTTCTTTATCTCCTCTGTATCCTGTCTTTGGAGGGTGCTAAAATTGACAGAATACAGTTGAACTGTTAGGCTATTGATTCTCATTTAATTAGTTTAGACAAAAATTACATCAGTAGTATCTTCAATCTGGGCTGTGGCAAAACTGTGCTTTAAACATTATTACCAAGCCCACTAAGTGATTTTGGTGAATATTACCATGCACATGGACGCTGTTCTGCATAAATAAGTTACATCAGTGTACTAGTTGTCCAAGGTTTCCTTCCAGTTTGTTACATTTCATTTCCCCCTCCTTGAAATTGCCCTCAATTTGGAAAATCCAATCTCATGGGTAAAATTATACTCATGCGTTCTACCACTCATACCACATTTCCCCCCGCTTAACTAGCATTTGGCCTATAAAACATGACTTCAAGGGGAAATTAGATTTAATAAACTGGATGAAACCTCAGATATAGAAAAAGGAAATGTTCAAGGTTATTGATAGCCTTATAGTTAATCAACAACTGTTTTTTAATGAACAAATGTATGACTCCCAACAACCCTAGGATGCTTTATATTCATACAAAGGTGTTACTGGAATCCTGTAAGTTATCTTACTATCTGTTTTAGTGAACCTAGCCTAATACTGGGAGGGAAAATACATTCAGCAACCGCATACCATATCATTTCTGTGCTGTTATCTTTTGGAGGTGGGTTTTAAGCTAAATGCTTTAACAGCACAGCAATGATAAGAAAAGTCCTTATTCATCATTATTTGTGAGCTAAAGGGGTATCTAACTTTTTAATTCTTGACCTACATGTTGAAATAAAACCCCTTTCAAATGTTTTGTGCACTCATTATTGCTTGTTCGTCTCTTACAATTTAGATAAATGATATAACAATAAACTCAAGGTGGTTGAGTCTCAAGCAGTAGGGCGGCGGAAGCAAGCCAAGGGAGCGTCTCTTTCTGCAGGAGACTCGGGCGCTCCATACCCACTGATCCTGCGGGACACGCTGAAGACACCGGGACTGTACTTGCAGTGTTGGGTTTTGATGCACTCTGTTTTGTGGATATCTGTTAATCTCTCAAAGAGTAGACTTGGGAGACAGAGAACAACAGGGCAGGGAAACTAGTGGGGGGACTGGCAGGGAAAGATATCTGGTCAGTTATTTTCCATCATGATTGATGAAAATATTAGTGATGGATGGGAGATTTATTCATCAGAATATTTTATGATGGGTAACTCTGCCTTAATGCATGTAGTGGGGGTGCTTATACATGGATGATGTACTAGTTTTGTCTCCCCTCAGCTATTCTCAGTTTCAGGTTTAAATTACCTAACTAATGGGGTGGTGAGAGAGAATTTGAATTGCACCATTTTATCACAGCCTCAACAGAACAAAGGTTAGGTTGCAATGAAGCAGTCTGTGTTGGGGCCCAGGGGTCATACTGTAGCTATTGTCTTTTGTTATGAAGATGGCTGCTATTATTTAGCAGGCAGGTATAGCTTAGTGAGGAAACAAAGGGGGAGGCAGTCGCTGAGCGAGACCCCCCCCCCCCCCCCCCCCCCACCCCCTTTCACTCTTGTGAGTTCTCCCTCCATGTTAAATTGGTGTGTTGTCTTTCTCTCCCCCTTGGTGTGTGTGTTGCAGCACCCGGACAGTAAGATGATGCAGATCAACCTGACGGGCTTCCTGAATGGGAAGAATGCCAGAGAGTTCATGAGGGACCTGTGGCCTCTGCTGCTCAGCGCTCAGGACAACATCGCCGGTATCCCCTCCGCCTTCCTAGAGCAGAAAAAAGAGGAGATCAAACAGAGACAGGTAAGCAACCAGACACAATCTCACAATCACCACATTGTCAGGCACATGTATTTGTACTAGGGCTGAATGATTGGGACAAATTGTCATTTTCTTTTTGCTAGATATTGACATTTTCTAACACTTGTGAAAACTTGGTAATTCCACCAGACATGGTTAAAACAAGTGTCAGGGTAGAGAACATCACTTCTAAAATGAGATCATATTTATTAATACGTACTGTGCTAACTAAACACAAAACCAAATGAAACATATTTTCCATCATTGTTATACTTATGATAATAGATAGGATCATTACACCTACATATTAACATTAATTTTAAACATGAGCATCAAAATAAAGTGTGCTTTAAGTGCAGCACTTATTCATTAATTAACATGATTTCCAATTTTACCATTAAATAAATAATGAACTTAAATAACATAAGTTAATTATTTATTCAGGCAGCCGTAGGCAATGTGTAGCCTGTGTCCAAAACATTTGGAGTCTGGTTCAGTCATTCTACGCGATGGCCTTGACAACGTGTGCGCTGTTATCGTTATGCACACTTGCTGCTCCTCATTCAGTCCCCAGGCGGCTAAAGCTTCTTACATAATAAACATAATATGCCATTTAGCAGACGCTTTTATCCAAAGCGACTTACAGTCATGCGTGCATACATTTTTTGTGTATGGGTGGTCCCGGGGATCGAACCCACTACCTTGACGTTACAAGCGCCGTGCTCTACCAGCTGAGCTACAGAGCGATGTTTTGTCCCGTGTGATCTCCGGGGAAGTAGCCTATGATGTTTGCAAGCAAAGACCTTAAGTTGAAACTCCTTTTCAAGAAAGTGTACTGTCAAACGAATGTAGGGCTCAGTTCAACTACGAATGGTCTGTTGTAATCGCATAATAATCAACATGTGTGCGCTCTGTTTCAACTTCTCGCTTCAAATTGTTATACAGTGTTGGGATGGAGACTTGGGAGAAATATGTACGAGATGGAATCTTGTATCTCCTGTCCAGCTTGTTAATCACCTTGAAGCCGTCTTTGCTGACTGTAAATAGGAATCATGTCTTTGTCTATGAGATAGCCTCAGTAATTTATATCACCTATGGGGCTGCGGCAGGGTTTCCGTTAACCGGTTAATGCCGGCTTTTGGCCTATAAAAAAAATGAAAAGCCAATAAATACAACTGTTGCCGTCCAAATTGTCTGGCAGAAATAAAAAAAATCCATTGCAAAATAATGCTTTTTATTCGTTGATGGAAATACCAGTCGATGTGCTCCAACTTCAAAGGCAAATAAATCGTCAAGCTCCTTGGAAATTACTGTCTGGCTCAGGCTGACCTATTTTACTGTCTTTCTATTATTACTCACGCAAAAGACGTGAGGTCTTCATGAGGGACTTCAGCTTAATGTACCCTGAAAAATTGTGTTGATTATCCCTGTTTCCGTTGTGCCCGCCGAGAGGGGATTCTTTCTCCAAAACAGAGTAAAGACGTCCTCAAGATCGCTCCTTCTTGAGAACAAAGTAACGAGGCTCTTGTGCGTCGCAAACTGCTCCGAGGAGTTGCACACTTTTAACTTCCCAACAGCAGCGGCTCACTTTGAGCAGGCCAAGGTCTGCTGCAAACGCAAGTAAATTATAGCGAAATTATTTTTGTCAGGCCTGGTCCTAGCAGTTCTGCTGCCGCCCTAGGCAAAATGAACATATGCTGCCTTTGTCATGTATAGTATGAAGATTTGGTAATTATGTGTATCATGCACTATTGGTGCATTTTAGTTGAGCTTATTCAGTTGCACTTGGAAACTAAACATGGTTGCCAACTATTCACATCGGAGTTACAATGTTGCAATCACTAGGCAGCCAACTGCCTATAGTCGAAAACAGAGTTATCAATAAGCCACGTATATCACACATGACACGAGCCATGACCCCATGATAGTTCAAATTACAATAAAAATAACATTAACAGCAGCCAGTAGAACTAAAAAGAGTGAGGTAATTTGAGCTTTGGAAACGAGTGCTTTTATAAATGCATGGTGCGGGCCTCGTTTCAGCCTTAACTAATGTTTATTTCCGTATCAAATTTGATAGTCCAACATCAGTTTTATAATTTCTTCATTTTGTGGCTGCCTCGAGTGACCTCTTTCCACTGCTGTGGTGCTGAATCGCACCGGTAGTGAGGCGGGCCGGCCCGGTCATGGCTAGACGGGATCCAGCTTTTGTCAAATTAATGTCAAAAGTAGATTTTTTTAGCTAACCCTTTTCCTAATTCTCCTAACCTGCTACATTCAGCTAACCTGCTACTAAAAGTCAAGTCTGACGTTCATTTGACAAAAGCTGGATCTCTTCTAGCCGTGACCGACCGGCCCTGGTGTTCGTAGACAGACATGTTTTGTTATTTATTAGGCCTAAATAAAATGGTCATGCCTAGGCTAAATTAAATTAGAGGCCTAGATTGTATTTGAAAACAGCTGTTTTATTTGTTAGTTAACATTTTCATACAAGTAAACTATAGGACAGGTCATTCGCAAATTATATTATACAAATATATTTTGAGGTTGTTTTATTACTGTGCAGGCGACTTGTTCTTCTAGGCTAAATGTTTTTTAAAAATATTAATTTAGGATTTATAGCAGGGATGAAGATGCAACGGGCTATGTTTTGCTTTTCAATAAAACCTGTCATTTTGTTATAAGAACATCGTTCTACTTTATTTTATTACACCTTTACAGGATAATTTCCATTCTGTTAAGATGAATTACAATAATCTAAATGTGATTTTGAGCACCGTGGGTGGACGCCCTAATGCTTTAAGCACCCAATGCATGGATGTCCGGTAAATTTAAAATGTTGCGATTTGCATTGTCCGGTGCCAAATTTTACTAGCGTAAACCCTGGTCTGCAGGATGTTTTTTCGTTAGTGCTAGCAGCACGCATGTTTCCAACACACTTTGGAGGTGAAGCCCTTTCTCTCCTCACCAGCATCTAACTGCGCTCTAAGCGGGGATGCTTGTGATTGACCAGCGTGTGCATGCTATGCAGCGAGTGAGAGCAAGCTTGTGATTGGTCAGCATCCTCTGTGCATGTAGAGCGTGAATGAACAGAGTATAGTGCATCTCATTGGAGGAGGCACCATAGTCTAGTTTTTGTTGCATTAACGGAGTGTCAAATAAAGAAAATCGCAGCCTCTTGCGATATGGATGTTGCACATGTCAATATTGCAATTTTGATCTGAATTTGATTAATCGTGCAGCCCTAATTTGTACAGTGTTTTACTGCTTTGGCCTCGCATGCTGTTGTCTGTTGCAGATTGAGCAAGAGAAGCTTGCCTCTCTGAAGAAGATTGATGATGAGAAGAAGGAAAAGGAAAACAAAGAAAACCGAGAAAGGGAGAGCCCCAGAAGGTAAGCAAGAATCGCGTTAAATAAAATCCCTTGGAAGTCGACCTCAATCAAAATGTTAAAAGATAGTTAATATGGCATTGGCTCTTATGTTGTTGTGGTGCAGGAGGAAGTCAAGGTCACAGTCTCCACGGCGACGATCTCCAGTGAAGAGGGAGAGGAAGCGCAGTCACTCCCGCTCCCCGAGGCGTAAGCCCAGTCCCAGCAGCTCCCCTCCACCACCAGCTCCAGCTGTCACCCTGGTCAGTGTTACCCTGCCCCAGAGCACTGAGGAGCCCCAGCCTGAGCCAGACACCTCAGAGAGCGCCATACCTGAGCCAGTCATTCAGGAGGCCTCCTCCACCAGGTAAGGGAAAGGTTTGCAATATGCAGGGAAGTGATTTGTCCTGATTTGTTGATTCAATTTCTGACATCAAAATGAAATCTAATTTGTGGCATGTTTTCATTTCCCAGTGATGTGGTGAAGCCGGACACTGTGGTTGTGGTACCTGACTCTGTGACGGATGTCAAAGAACCCTCCCCAGATAAGGCTCCCAAAAAGGAGAGGCCCAAGCCCAGGGAAAGGGAGAAGGATGGCAGGAGAGATAGGCCCCGCCACCGCTCTCGCTCCCATTCCCGCTCCCGCAGACGACCCAGATCACGCTCCAGATCTTACTCCCCCCGGCGGAGGCCGAGCCCCAGGAGACGGATGTCCCCTCGTCGTAGGAGCCCCCCCAGACGTGGCCCCCCAGGCCCCAGACACAGGCGCAGTCGCTCCCCGATCCGCAGGTGAGTGGAGGGCCACAGAAGTGTAGCTGAGTTCAGAAGTGCCTGTCACTGAAGCTGTCATTAACAGCCCTTTGGGATTAACTAGCTACCTTACCAAACAGCATGTGATCCTGAGTTGTGGTTGATTTGTGCTCTCTCCCCTAGGCGGCGCTCTCGCTCCCCATCATCCTCTGGGAGCAGCTCCACGTCTCGCTCACCTCATAAGAAGGCAATGAAGAGAACGTCGACCACACCACCCAGGAAACAGCCCCGCGGCCATGCAGCTGACCCCTCCCTCAGCCCCTCCAGGAGAAGAGCCCCCAATGGCAGCCCCTCTGGGAAGACACAACGCTCTGCCTCCCCTCGGGCCAGAAAGGGCCGGGCCTCAGCCTCCCCATCCAGATCAGCTGGTATGTTAGCTCTACTTACTTTTCTCCATTCCATAATGAACAAAAATATAAACGCAACAAGTATAGTGTTGGTCACATTTTTCATGGGCTGAAATAAAAGATCCCTGAATTTTTCCATACGCACAAAAAGCTTATTTAACATTTTGTGCACAAATTACTTTACATCGCTGTTAGTGAGCGTTTCTCCTTTGCCAAGATAATCCATCCACCTGACAACTGTGGCATATCAGGAAGATGATTAAACAGCATTGTCATTACACAGCTGCACCTTGTGCTGAGGACAATAAAAGGCCACTCTAAAATGTGCAGTTTTTTACATTTGTCATTTAGCAGATGCTCTTATCCAGAGCGACTTACAAATTGGTTTGTCACACAACACAATTCCACAGATGTTTAAAGTGTTGAGGGAGCCTGCAATTGGCATGCTGACTGCCAAAATCTCCACCAGAGCTGTTGCCAGAGAATTGAATGTTCATTTCTCTACCATAAGTCGCCTCACACGTCGTTTTAGAGAATTTGGCAGTACGTCCAACCAGCCTCAAAACTGCAGCCCACGTGTGACCACGCCAGCCCAGGACCTCCACATCCGGCTTCTGCATAAGCTGTCAGAAACCGTCTCAGGGAAGCTCATCTGCGTACTCGTTGTTCTCACCAGGGTCTTGACCTGACTGCAGTTCGGCGTCGTAACCGACTTCAGTGGGCAAATGCTCACCTTCGATGGCTACTGGCATGCTGGAGAAGTGTGCTCTTCACGGATTAATCCCGGTTTCAACTGTACCGGACAGATGGCAAACGGCGTGTAAGGCGTTGTCTGGGCGAGTGGTTTGCTGATGTCAACGTTGTGAACAGAGTGCCCCATTGTGGGGTTATGGTATGGGCAGGCATAAGCTACGGGCAACGAACACAATTGCATTTTATCAATGGCAATTTCAATGCACAGAGATAGATACCACGACGAGATCCGCGTTAGGAAGAGGGTGGGAAAGTAGATCCTATTACATTTACATTTTAGTCATTTAGCAGACGCTCTTATCCAGAGCGACTTACAGTTAGTGAGTGCATACATTTTCATACTGGCCCCCCGTGGGAAACGAACCCACATCCCTGGTATTGCAAGCGCCATGCTCTACCAACTAGTTACATAGGTCCCCTGTAGCTCCAAGTCTGGGCACCCCTGCTATACGTGCTTGTTTTGTCACACAAACTGAAATTAGGCGAGCTATTCACATTTTAGCAACCAGGAAATGACTGAGCGATTTCTGCATAGTGCAGCTTTAAACAGAAAATCTACTCAAACTGTCTTTTGGTATTTTTTAATTAGTCCACTGTTGATACAGTCCCAAATGTTTTGCATGTCAGCAGTCAAGTTTTCAAGATACTGGAATTGGATATTGGCATTTTGCATTATCATGATGTGGCCGGTGACACATTTTATTCTTAAGTCCAATAACTTGACTGCTGACATGCAAAACATTTTAGGACTGTATCAACAGTGGTCTGTAGTGAACTCAGCCCTATGTAACTTCCTCACCTTTACATACACCCTTCCTCTAAAAGAGCATCCAGGAATGTCTAAACAATCAGTGACCTGGAAACTATTTACATTACTTCATCTCAAATCCTAGGCAGGCCTAATTTCAGAAGTGGAACACTTTGAGAGGCCTTACTGGCAGGCCTTGACTAATGGAAACTGCTGAATCATAAACCTCTTTTCAGGCTGCAGCAAACATCCTCTTCAAGCATGATTTATCACTCTTACTACTAGTGTTATACAAGCATTTATATTTGTGAATGAGTATTCTTGCTGGAAATATTCTGGCACCTAAAACATCTTTTTGCTTTTCAGGTTCAAAGAAGAAACCAGGAACGAGGAACGATTCACCGTCTCCTGTTCCAAAACCCAGGCAGTCCGAGGCATCAGAGTCAGGTGAGTCTGCCTTCTAGTGCCTGTCTTTGTGTGTCGTTCTGGTGTGATGCACCGTGGGTGTGGGTGGATGTTTGTGTTTAGCTGTTTTCTCTAGCACTGAACGGAGACTCACTGCTTTGCGTTTCAGAGGGGGCTACAGCAGATTCTGTGCAGCAGCGACGTCAGTATCGCAGGCAGAATCGGGAAACGTCTTCAGGTTACAAGCGTTTTTTATTTTGTGTTCCCCACCTCAGCCCATCTTTTTTTCTAACCCACTGTGTCCGTCTCGTCTTGCACCCTCGTCTCGTGGATCTTGAAGCTGTGCCTTAATCCCCATCCACATGTTGCTACTGGGAAATGACGTGTACTGTCTTCTTTCGGATTGGTAACAGAGGCTGGATCATCATCCTCCTCGGAGGATGAGGGGTCCAAGAGGCCGGGCGGCGGGCCAGTGGCGAGGAACGGGGATGTCAGGAGGAGGCGCAGTCACTCCCCCTCCTCCCCCAGGAGACGACACAGGGACGGCTCCCCCAGGTCAGCTACAGACAGTTCTCTCATGCAGTCATGATTATAGATTTTGGACGTTTTGCCTATACCAACAAGACACACACACACTGTCCCACATCATGCATTCCTCATGTAAATCTTTGTTTTCCCTCTACAGAAAAAGACGCTCCCCTTCCCCTGGAGGACGCAGATCTCCCCCAAGACGTCGCAGATCTCCCTCTCCTCCTCCTAGGCGCAGGTAAAAGCCTTATGCCTCTTCTTTCTTTGGGGGGGGGGGAATTCCCTCATTACTGAGAATTCTCCAGAATTCAGTGCACCACACCTGAGATTCAAAGAATAACTTGTCTCATATGTCCTCTTTGTTTCCCCAGGTCTCCCTCTCCACTGCCTCGCAGACGCTCCCCCTCCCCCAGACGGTACTCTCCCCCCATCCAGCGGCGATACAGCCCCACTCCCCAGGGCCCACAGAAAAGAAGGCTGTCAGGGTCTCCCTCTCCCAAACGCCTATCCCCGGTGCCCAAGCGCCGTCCCTCCAGGTCCCCTAAACGCAGGAGTCCCCCTCCCCAAAAGAGACGTACACCTCCCTCATCCACCTCTCCCCCCAGACACAGGAAGAGCCCCATGCTCCCATCCAACCGACCAGGCCGGGACACTCGCTCCCCCCCTCCTGCTCACAGTAACCGCCTGTCCCCTTCCCCTGCCAACCGTGGCCGAGCCAGTCCTCAAGGGCGCTTTGACACCTCTCCACCTGGCCAGAGGCGCCAGGCGTCCCCCTCACACAGCAACAGGGCAATCCGCAGGGTGTCCCGGACACCAGAGCCCCGCAAGAACCAGAGGTAAGCAGGCTCTAATTGGTCTTATTAAAGCAAAAGCTTCTGCTGCACAACAATAACTCACACCACTATTTTTAGATGTACACTGAGTGTACAAAACATTAGGAACACCTTTCTAATATTGAGCTGCAGCCCCTTTTGTCCTCAGAACAGAGTCAATCGTTGGGGCATGGACTCTACAAGGTGTTGAAAGCATTCCACAGGGATGCTGGCCCATGTTGACTCTAATGCTTCCCACAGTTGTCAAGTTGGCTTGGATGTCGTTTGGTTGATGTATCATTCTTGATACACATGGGAAACTGTTGAGCGTGAAAAACCCAGCAGCGTTGCAGTTCTTGACACACTCAAACCGATGCGCCACACCTACCATACCCCGTTCAAAGGCACTTAAATCGTTTCTTGCCCATTCACCCTCTGAATGGCACACATACACAGTCTATGTCTCAATTGTCTCAAGGCTTAAAAATCCTTCTTTAACTTGTCTCCTCTCCATCTACACTGATTTTGAAGTGGATTTAACAAGTGACATCAAAAAGGATCGTGGCTTTCACCTGGTCAGTCTGTCATGGAAAGAGCAGGTCTTCCTAATGTTTTGTACACTCAGTGTATATTACAGATATATCACACCTTTTCTCTCCGGTTTCTCCCTATCAGAGCCTCTAAGAGCCCCCAGCCGATGAGGAGAGCGTCATCAAGGTCACCATCTGGTTCCCCTAAACCAGGAGCCCTGAAGCGGCCAGCCGCAGGGTCCCCCTCTCCAGGCCGCTCAGCCAGTGGATCGCCATCTGCACCGCCAGCTAAAAAGGCCAGCAGCGGTTCTGGTAGCCCTTCTCCAAACAAGGTGAGTTTAAAGCTGCTATCTGTTAATAGTACGACGTGAGATGAAATATTCGTTTTTTGACTCAACTAAATGGCTAGATAGGGGAGTGTTCTCCTGTGAGTAAAAGCTGGCGTGTGTTGTGTTTCTGGGCACCAATACCATGATAACTTGGTGGAAGACTGAAGTAGTTTAACCAATGAAGTTCATAATGCCCTCTGCTTGGCCCAACTCACTAAATGCAAATTAAATACTTAGTCACTTAGTCACTCGTGGTATTGCTTTGTCATCCCCATCTCAGAATTCTGACACCGAGGCTGGAGGAAAGAAAAACAAGAAGAAGAAGAAGGAAAAGAAACACAAGAAGGAGAAGAAACATAAGAAGCACAAGAAACACAAGAAGGAGAAGAGTGATGTGCCGGTTGCTGTTGGGGACGACCAGGAGAACCTGGGGATGGAGGGGGACGCAGACTCCAACCCAAAAAAGGTGAAGTCTACTCTTCTGATTTACTGAGGGGTTTTAGCCTGCTTCACATCATCTCCGCCACTGCGCCTAGCATCTAAGCGTTGCATCTATTTCATTCAAGATAAACAAAGTTAGACAAGGTTGTAGAAGTTGACTGGTGCACCATCATTTATTGCATGTCATCAGCTAATGTATTCCTTTATGGGGCGGCAGGTAGCTTAGTGATTAAGAGCGTTGTGCCAGTAACCGAGAGGTCGCTGGTTCTAATCCCCGAGCCGACTAGGTGAAAAATCTGTCGATGTGCCCTTGAGCAAGGCACTTAACCCTAATTGCTCCTGTAAGTCGCTCTGGATAAGAGCGTCTGCTAAATGACTAAAATGTAAAATTATATTACTATGATGAAGCATGCTGCAGCATCTTACCACCTAACTTGCAACGTAACCGAAATATGATATAATTAATGCTACCTTTCCTTAAGGAATCAGACAGTGAAGTAGAAGAGTGTCTCGACGACCTGGAGAAGCACCTGAGAGAGAAGGCACTGCGTTCCATGAGGAAAGCTGGAAAGCTGTCCCCTCCACTGTCCTGAGAAGCCCGGTCACTCCCCTCCCTCTTCTTCCTCCTCCGTTTTCCTCCTTTCCTAATTTTCCATTCCCTTTGTTTAGAATTTTTCGTTAACCTTGTTCAGCTTTAGAATGTACAAATTGTTTATTCTTTAGTTTGTTTTCTTTTACAGGTTTGGTAATCTATTGAAAGATGGTTTTTATCAAGAGCTTGATATGTCATGTGAGATCTCCCAATTAATATTATTATTTTAAAATATTTTACCCAAAGTGTGTTATTGCTTATATCCAAACTGTAAGTGTCTTTGTTGGACCCCTCAATTTTCACGATAAGATCAGGGATGGGAACGGTATAATTATGAAGCTTGCATTGTACAAGTCTCTCATACTACAACATACAAAAGATTTAACTTTGGGAATTTAGGATTGCATGTGCAGCTAGCGCGTCTGCTCTGATGTGCATGAAACGGACTGTAAACAAAAGCAAATACACAGATCAAAGCTGTCATTTTCCCCCTTTTGTCAGCGGGCATTGTATGGTATTGCTATGCTGTGTGCTCTCTAAAATGGGGAACGAATCCGAACAGTCTGTTTTTCCATTATTTTTGTTATGTAATAGAGGTGTTTGGCCTTGCAGTAAATTCTGGCTCTGAAAAAGTCAGTTTAAAAATAACTGGATTTTTCATGAGGATTCTAACTTTCTCTGACCTCATCAGAGAGCCGGGGTTTGATTTCCCACATGGGTTGATATGCAGTCATACTTTGAGTTCACACTGATCCACTCTTTTGCATTGAGCTATTCATTTTTGTGGGACTGCTATTTGACTTGTATTTAAAAACTCCTGCTTTTGTCATCCTTTCAGAATTAAATGATTTTTTTATATTAAAACTCTAAAGTGATTATGTTGTATATTGTAAATTCATGGATATGGCCTGTCCTAGAAAACAGGGTTGGCCACTTGGACAAGATTAGTATGAGATGAAAGGCGAGTTCCTAATGAGTTCAGGAAGCCAAGCTAGAGCTCTGAGACTTAACGTCAGATGTTTTGATCAAGAGAGACCTTTAGAAAATATGCATGTTTTCTCTAACACTAAATATACAAATATGTATTTTACAGTTATAAGGAAGGTGAACTCTTAGTGGTTTTATAATTTGATTATGCTATATTTAAAAAGCATGTCATTTCAAGCCTTATTCATAGTTTTGTTGAATAGGAAATACATAAAATATTAAATTTTAATATTTGTATCATATGTGCTGTGTACTTGAGCTTGTGTCCTCAAAAGTGACTACACCTCAGCAATTTATAACTATTTTTACCAGAAAGGTGAGATTTTAACCTTGGAGCATTACTAGTTAATGTTTATGGTCCTCTCGTGATAAATCATTACTTTCGTGGATTGTGTAGATTACATTTTAGATTAAGAGGTTAAAATTATATATTTTTTACATGAAAGTTAGAATTGTGCAGCATAAAATTGTAATAGGGGTACCGAGTGCTGTGCATTGCAAATAATCCTGCACCAAACTAAGGCCATAGTGTGTATTAGTAATGACACCCTGGACAGTGACTGCTGTTCCCTTGGTTTGTTCTTTATTGTCCTGTCTTTGTTGGGATGCCTGATCGGTCTATGGGAGCAGCTGCTCTAGATTACTGGGGAGTCCTAGGCAGAAAGCACATTCAAGCAAGGCTGAGGGGCAGATGCATTGAATGGTTTTACAATCAGCACTATGTAGGCAAACGGGATGGGCACACCATGTCATAGTAGACCTATTAGGCATCTTGGCCAAACTGCTTGTCCTGTCCAACACATTTTTATAAATGGTACAGTACTTTTATCACAGTTTCACAATGCCATGCTAGTTCAACTCGATTGAAAGCTATCTACTGTAGAAAGCCTGATTACTTGATAGTGCCATTTTCTCTCATCTGCCAGGGCTATGACTCATGTGACCTTAATACACATTTAAAAAATATACAGTAAACAGACAAAAAAAGTCCATCCTGAAGTTGTTGATATAATGTACTAGATGTGAGTCTTGTAAGGGTTTTACAGTACCTAAACAAACTATTCTCTTATGGTTAATGCTTTTGTTGTAACACCTGCTCCAGAGGAGGGCTGACACAGGCAGTGTGAGAACATTGAGCAAGCTGCTGCTACACCAGCATTGTTGCCAAGGGGAGTTGAGCCAGCTACCCAGTCTCTTATAGGTTATCAATAAAATGTCACGTCACTGGCCACCTCCGATAGGGTTCTAACTGCAGACATATCTCAGGTCCCTCTATACTGCCACCTACTGGTCTCAGGCCCATCTCTCAGGCAGGCGTGTTGCCAACTTAGCGACATTTAGCGAGTTTTCAGGCCCCTCTAGCGACACATTTTCAAAAAAGCGACTAGCGACAAATCTAGCGACTTTTTCTGGTGTTATTGTCGACTTTTGGAGACTGACGTGAAAGCACGTATCGTTCTTACTCTTCTCAACGAGCAGCGGGTGCTGCGGTGGGCCCCATCCCCGTCCCCACCCTGTTCAACGAATCCAGTAAATGTGGGGGAGTTAAGATGGAGTGTCGCCTGGTTAATGTACAAAAGCAGAAGGCTCTCTTCCATTTCCCCTGAAAACCGGTATCTTTCTACCCCGCTGAGGGTGTTTCGGGCCTAACACAAGGAGCAGATATTTTTTTTCTGTTTATCACAGAGAGGATAGCGTCCAAACGACTGACAACTCACGCTATGAACAGTACACAGTGTCCTTCACCCTCGCTTGGCGAGCACTGTTATCCCGCAGTCCTGTTAACGTTACGGCGAAGGAAGTGGCTAGCTAGGACACTGCCTGCCGAGTACTGTACTGTTTTCTTGCAGTTCTGTTAACGTTACATCTGCTATCCAACACAACAGATTACATTTCAAGCAATAAAAGTTGCACATTAATTATACTACAATGATAGTTTAAACGAAAAACGAACCATTTTATTTCCCTTTTGACCCACATTTTAATCGCATAGACAATCAGGGAAAATCCAGAATATCAAAGTGTCAGTTAAACACAAGCATTAAGATCCCTGCAACAAAGTGTACAAGCTGTAATACCACAGATAGAACAATGAGATTAAAAAAGATTTTTAAAAGATTTGGTAATACTATGCTAACATTCATCCCGCCATTTTCATTCAACACTGAAAACTCATCCCACCAGTAGGTGGTAGTATAGTAAAATCATTGAGGGATCCTGGCATTGGAGAGGGGCCTGAGAGATTATGTCTGCAGTTAGACTCAATTGACTTTAGATATACATATTGGGAATAATGGACAGCACTATGACTATTGCAATAATATTTTATGTATATTCAATACAAGAGCAGGAGGTCATTAGGTAATGTGTTCTGTTTGAAGGGAAAGTGCATATCTCCATGCAATTATCAGACCATGCATACACAGTACCCACAACTTCTAGTTGATCAAATGTATTGCAAAAAAATTGGGGGACATGGAGGTGTTTGATGAACGGGAATTATAATAGTAGGCTAATAAAAACAACATAGGCCTGATGATGCCTTTGCCGTTGGTAAGGAGATCACATAGCAGCATATCGCCTATATATTTATTTTAATTGACTATACACTGAGTGTACAAAACATTAGTAACACCTTCCTAATATTGAGTTGCACCTCTTTTTGCCCTCAGAACAGCCTCAATTTGTCGAGCATGGACTCTACAAGGTGTTAAAAGCGTTCCACTGGGATGCTGGCCCATGTTGACTCCAATGCTTCCCACCGTTTTTTAAAAAGTTTTTATTTTATTGATGTAGTTCTGTCCTTGATCTGTTCTTGTCTATTAATGTTATGTATTATGTAATGCTTCATGTTTTGTGTGGACCCCAGGAAGAGTAGCTGCTGCTTTTGCAACAGCTAATGGGGATCCTAATAAAATAAAATAAAAATACCAATACCAAAATGTGCGGCCAGTGTTTGGCACTGGCTATATGCATGCCTTTTTTGTTTAAAGAAAAAGTCGCTGCAAAATATTTAAACATTCTGCCCACACCTCTACAGAAAAGGTACAAATGTTGCCATTGCGCTTTCTTTTAGAAACGTCATGGCCCAGTTCCAACATCTCCAAATCATACAATAAATAAGGGCGTTTTTGTTACCATAAAAGGTGACTGGAGGGCGTTTTCCAGGCGGAGTTTTGAACGGTCATTCACGAGCGCAGAAATATAGTATGCCTCTGATTTATCAATGATTATGTTGCGTGCAACAGTTTGATAAATCACAATCATTTGTTGTGCACGGAAATCCTGTAGAGATACCGAAGAGTCAAAGGGAGCTGTTCTGCAACATTTAGTTTTGTGGACGGGCTGCACCAATAGCCCACTACCCTTGCTATCTTTGTGTCGACTTTCTCCTCTCAGCACTCGTGTGAGAAATACTGCGAGCCACCAGCCTAGGAAAAGCGGTTACCCGAAAACTCCGTGGAAAGGGGGTGGCAAAGAAGAGCGAGTAGGCTAAAGATACCCGTTTGGTGCGGAAAGAAGATTTCGTTTGGAAAAGTTTATATAGTTTAGTTCACAATGTCTTTGTCAGTACCCCAGAATGGAATCAAGGCGGATAACGAGCCCATTATCGAGCTCTTTGTGAAGGTACGTTCCAGAATAGATTCTACAGCAGGCTGTCGCATTGGGAAAAGTTTGCTCCTTGAATGTATTTTTCTGAATAATAAGTTAACGTAGATATTAGGCCTAAATTAACAAATGTATTTAGTCGGACACGTTTTTTTTTTTTGGGGGGGGGGGGGGTACCGGTATAAAGTAAATATATAAACTACTTTTCTTTCTTGGAGTGCATAGGACAGTTAATAAGTGGGCTGTCGTTATTTATGTACCATTTGATTATATTATATTGCTTCCATTTGCATTCAAAAACGGTTACTTTAAGTACTGCGCATACAGTTTTCCCAAACGTTTTACGATTTGTAACAATTCGAGTATAGGTTCGTTTTTGAGACCCTCCCAAAGTGTGGCCATGTG